GTATTGAATATTTTATAATTTTCCACTCCTTATCAATAATGAACATATTATTATTTTAATCGATTGAAGCCAGAAAATTAGTTTTCAATATTTCATGAGGCGTTTAGGTTTCAACATCAAAAATCTTTACTTATTCCAGAAAAGGGAAAATGATTAAATATTTTGAATCATCTGTAAATTTAACAGTTTTAATAGTTACATTTTTTACTATAGTTAAAGTTCTATTTTATTAAATATCAAATATTCTTAATTATGATCTCATTTTCCATTAAGACTTTTCTGTAATCTTCGGTTTTTCATATGTGACCAAAAATCTCAAATTTGGCGATATCATTAAATTAACAATTTCTAATTTCTCTATCGGCATAATCCTTAATCCTTGAAGTTATTACTTTAATATTTCTTCTTCAAATAGTTTTTATTCTTGAATCAAAACCAATTAGCGTATTTAATTATTTTGCATTTATAAATATATATTTATAATTATTAAATTATTTAAACAGTAATGAATAGGTCAGCTTTGGGTTTGCTCATCCTATACTGTGGAGAAAAATTTTTAAGCTCATTTTCAAAATTCTATAACCTCTCTGTAATTTTCTTTTTTAAAAATCTATTTATCATAAAATACTTCCTTTAAACCTCCTTAACACTTAATTTATTTATACTTTTATGGAAAAGAAGTACAATAAAATTGGAATCTGTACCCTAATTAATACAGATATTTTTTCTTTATTCAGGAAAGAGTTGAACAATCACCAATCCCTTTTCTCTAAATTTTGGTTTCTAAATAGATTTGTGAACCCTAAGTAACAAGGCAAAATCTTCAGGGCTTTTACTAAGCTTTATATCGAAGATACGCTAATATGAATTTTTAAGTTACATCTTCTGCTATTGCATAGTTCAGACTTCAAAAACGAATCACTCAATATCATCATTCCCACAGTAGTATGCTTCGGTGAGGTCGATAATTGTGGGCTCAGAATCCACTCGTTTGAATTTTACCTTCCCCTAATTCATTTAAATTCTGAAATATGCCATTATAATCATTCAGTTCCCCCTCCATTTAATCCAAATAACCTTGAAATAAAGGTTGCGCAGAAGAAGGTAATATAGATACTACATATGGGATCATAGGATTAATGTATAAAATAATTATGTTTTCAGTTTAATAATGATTTTCATGTAAGATAAATAAAAATATAAAATGATAAAACTTAAATTAACAATTTTAAGTCTATAATTATTAAAAAGGATAATTTTTTGAAGAATGATGTTAAATGTCTAAATCCTCTTTGACAGTTATACATCTTTAATTGTTAATAAAATTAACACCAATGAATTTTCAATTATTTTTCTCATATTACCTGCAAATAAAATATGTCAAAGAAATTTAGTTTAATTTTGATACAACTTATCGCCAGAAGTGAAGTTTTGTATCACAAAAATTAAAGCATACTATGTTTTTTGACATCTACCCTTTTTCTCCTAATTTCTATCTAATTTTAGTTGCTGAAATCCCAAGCCTTTTGATCATATTAAGTTAATTTCTTTTGAGCTTCATAGATATTCATATTAAGGATTATTAATCTAATTATTAATATATTATTAATTTAATAATGATGAAGTAATAATAAGCTGCTATATAAATTAAAAGTGAGTAGAAAATTTTGCTATAAAATGCAGACATTTAGAACAAAATACATTTGAAAATCATCATTCTCAGTTAATATAATATCGAAAGCTCTTGATCCAAAATCTGAAAATTTAGGTTAAATTCAATTAATGAGATCAAATGATAAAAATTTATCTTAGCTGACTCTATTAATTAAATGATTTGATATTTCATAAATACACTATCTGGTATTATTCTGTGATAGATTAGTTAAATGACATTATTTGGTTAAAATATTATATTCGAATATTCATATTTCTCCTCTATTCTGTGAATACTTTAAATTTATATAAAATACTTAAGTAATGTGAACAATTTTATTAAACGATTTGTTAATATAAACTTCGATGCCTAAGTCTTCACAATTATCTCCATCTTGTTCACCTTCTGTTTGAAATTAGGTCATTTCTTTCTAGCACTAATTACATTTTTCTTCCTTTCGTTTTATCAATATAACTAGCTTGAAAATAACAATAAAAACGCTATAAATATTTATTAATAGTTTGCAATAACAAATTTCAAACATTGAACGACTTAAATTATAAATAATCAAATCTAGAAGTAAAAGTAGTCTTGGAGATATTCACAAAATAAAGTTAAAATAAGTTTAGTTAATTTTTTGAATAAAAATAATGTTATATTTTAATTTCTTACAATTTTAAGGCTTGAAAACACGATTATGTAATTATTTAGTTAACAAAGATGGTAAATAATAATTAACTAATTCTCATCTTTTAAATTTAAATCTATTGAAGAGCTGAATATTTATACTTAATCATAAGGATTAATTTAATATTGTGATCGGCTTAAACAGTCTAGTAAGTTTTAGAGAAGTGAAAAAAGCACATACCCTTCTTCTAATTTTGAGAAAATCAAGAAGAAGTAATTGCTACAAACTTAACATTAAATTCACTCAAACAAGTTATTTCTGTTTGAAAAGTTGAGCTCTAGAAGTAGCAGCAAATATTGTTATATTAAATTATTTTATATTCTTTTTTACAAAGTTTACACACTCTATATATTTATGAATATTTGTTGGTATAATTATAAAAAGTGAAGTTATTAAATTAATCTCTTTCGTCCTACTCTATATTTTTAGGTATATATACTTAGTGGCCCTACCAATGGGTGATATTGATCTTGTTAACCTGACAATACAGAAACAAATAAAGAGAATCTCAGACTAGTAAAGAATTCTTTAGTTGAGCAAAGTCATTACATAGAGTCAGATAATTTTAAATATTTTAATTGCTTTCTAGAGTGGAAAGGTTTGAAAACTCTTTTTTTCTTCATAAAAATACGTATGTCGTGACCATTTTGGAGACCAAAGAAAAAGAGTCAAGTTTAGATTTACAAGAGAATTTGATGAGCTAAGAATCCTAAATCATTAAGGAGCTAAAGCCCTTACTCAATCCGATGATGATAGATTTTCTAACTTCTTATCTAATTCAATTATCTAGTAACTAATTATTACAAAAATAATGTTACTAATTAATATCTTTATAAAATCAAGGAATTTATTTTTACTATAATTAAAAATTTGGATTGTATAATTCAACCGAAGTTAAGATTAATTATTTAATTTTCTATGGAATAGATATTTAGATAAATAGAAATTTAGACAGTTCCCTTCATCAGGTACTTTGGTCGTTAATCTAAAGTCAGTTATTCTGGAAGGATGTGAATAATTCATTAAAATAACTACTATTTTGTATTAATAAAATACTATTTGAACTATGGATTCAAATTTCAAAAGATGAGTAAGAAAATTATTAAAACAACAATAAAGGAATATCTTTTATAAATATTAATTTGGAAAGAGGCTCTAAATATGGTCTTTTATAAAAATATGTCAATAATGTTCTGCTATTCTAAAATTAAATAGGTTATGGCAAATCAAATGTTTCATAATAGCAAAGATTAAGAAGTAAAAAGAATATTGTTTGTTGCTACGTTGAAAGAAAGTTTAAGATCATAAAATCAGTCAATGTGAAATTATTAGACCTATCTTAAAGAAATTAGACCAACATTTAGAATAAATCAAAAATATACTTAAAATAAGTTAAATCTCATATTGGATGTATATAAAATTAAGTTAAATGAGTAGTTATAATTCATGGTTAAGTTCTTATGTTTATATTAGAAAGTGAAGTAGATTTTTTGTTTATTTAAAGTAGCTTACAAAAAAGCTCTGGAGTTTTTGAGGATTTATTAGTATAAGAAATACTTTGAATCTTTAAATCATAACAATTAATAAGCAAGTTTTTAAAGATAAAATATACATGTATTTTTTTTTTATGAAATTAAAATACTAAGTCGAATTATTAAATATTAAATAAGGGAAAATTATAATTATGATCAAGATAAAATTATCAAATTTTTGAAATTTAGCAATAACCAAAACAAAATAACATCTAGTCCTATTGATTTAATATGCATTTAATCAATTCTCTGTATTACCATCGTTCAGAATTGAGATAATTAGGTGATGAACGTTATCAATTTATGATTTCATCTGCTGAACCTTTTTTTTGATGTTAACATTTAGTTTTAGCATTTTTTTCAAGTCTTATTAGTATCAGCTGCTTTGGAGAGTCACTTTTTTTGGGTTTCTTTGGTTACTTTTGTTCTCAGTATCAATTATTTATTGCTACTTAAATCATACCACGAAAAGATCTGATATATAGTACAAAATGTAGTGCTGACAACCTTTATTCAAAATCTACAATTCTTCCCATCTTTAGTTTTAATGCACAGCTGGTTACCCTCTCATCTTCTATTGTTAGCTGTGGAAGTCAACTCTACCAAACTTAAACAGACTGGAGAAATTTGTTTGGATATGAATGGAAATATTTCGAAGACTAAAAGGTCGATTTTCTTGTTATCCTAAAAAAGTTAAATTCTTGTTTAATAAGTATGCAGAAATGCTGCCACGTCAATATTTTCAGTCAGTAACTATGTTGGGGTATACTGATCATTCTTTACTGATTTATTCTAAACCTATAACAAAACCTTTAGACTAATGTATTTTTTGGTATCGAGATTTACCAGATAAAATTGCAAAGTTTGTTTAGTTTATGGTCTAATTAGCTTTTTTATGGTACACCGAATTGTGCTCAACCTAGTGCTATAAATTATGGCAACTCAGATATTAGTTTGAATAATGTCAACATAATTAAATTCTGTAAAAAAATCTTGCTATTAATCTATTCATAATCACAACTTTTTTTGATTGAAATTAGAGCCTTTCAAGTTCTACTACTATTACTTCAGTAATCCTAAAATCATAGCTTCAAGTTCTACTACTATTACTTCAGTAATCCTAAAATCATAGCTCTTGCGCTCCCGTACAAGTCTTACTTCTGAAAATACATTTACATATTATGTTTACTTCTTCACATGTGTTAGTGAAGCTTTACTTTTCATTAAGACAATTGCTAGTTTGCAAACTGTCTTAAATATGTTACCATTTAAAGTACTTGCAATTTCTGTAGATCTGCTACTTAAAGTATAAATCCTCCCATAATATTAGTTTTGATTTTTTAATCTTTCCGTCCAGCACGCATTATAGAATATAATTAATTCAACTTTGTACTGTTTACACAGCATCGCGATGTCTCTATGTAATGCAACATGCTTTGTAAAATATGTTAAACCTTGTGTCAATAATGCATTTTCTTACTTCAAATTTCTGATGTATAAGCCTTGAGGAGGATGAAGTGCTGCTTGCTTTTAATATCTACTTCTTTGCATCATATTTTATCAATATAGGCTTGTCTTTAGTCAATGGTTTCTGCTACAGAATCCCAAAATACTGCCAGCTCCTGTAGCATAAATTGTTAAATTCATAATAGAGATACGAATGAAGCTACGCCCTTTGGAACTGAATATTTATGTACAACATATATATATATGATTGTCATGTCTATTTACATAGGGCTTGGACTGTTTTTGTAAGTGAGTGAGATACTTGTTAAACTATGTTAAACTCCTAAGTGTAACTCATCTAATTTGAAAGACATATGATGCTAGTCAAATTATCCAACATTATATGAAGAACATCTTACTCATAGTTTCAGCAACTATATTTCAGGACATGTTCTCAAATTCTTGAAGTTTCTAAAGAGATAATCACTGCATCTAGTATTGCTCATTCTGTTATATATCGCATTTGAGCTTATGACTTTCCTATGTAGCATCACAGCCTCTGTAAAGTATTTCATGAATGTTATACAAATAATATGGCATGATAAAATATTTCATATATTAAAGTCATCAATATCAAACAGCAGATTTAAACTTATTGTGTCCTAGGTGCCCTCCTAATTATGGAGAATATAAACCTTTTTCAAATAACTAATCAGGTAAACGATATTCTGAAAACATATTAATTTGTCATGCCTATTTGCATCATTCATGCACATGTGGGTTTGACCAACCCGTTATACATCCTGTTAATGATGAGTTGGATGAGGGAAATATTTCTTCAATCTTGATGAATCATGATTGCTTTGAGCATTCTAATTGTACTTGTAATTTCTAGCCTCATGCACAAATTTTCAAAAGCATTCTTAACAAGCAGCGGAAACACAGGCACATCCGTATTGAATTTAAGAGCAGCCAGATAAATGAATTAAAGACAGTATGTGTCAAAACTACATAGCTACCAGAATAGTATGTGAAAAACAAATTTATATGTGAGAACTGCAACTTATTCATTATTTTATTTTACTGAATAAAATTGTTCAACTAGTTCCCTAATTGTTCAACCTTATATTGCAATTCGAACACTGTTTTTGTCATTCGTAATTTCTAACAGAATAAAATATTTCTTTGTTTTTAAATAATTCTGAGTATTTTTATGATACCCTAAATTGCAATGCTTGTATTAATAAAGTTGCACCTTACATAGATGATTATTAAAATTGCAACATGATCCTTTATTCAACTGCAAATTTGAATTGAGTGTATTGTGTGAATGGAAGCAATTTTTCTAATAAATATTGCACCCCTCCATATTTGTATCAGCGTTCTTTGCTGCCATTAGCAATCAATAAAGATGCATATCTACCAGTCCAAATAGATCATCTTATTTAGCACTTTTTATGGCGTGCAGTCCTTTATTACTTAAAATAGTAAATTGCTACTATAATTTTTTAGCTTATCAATATTGAACACCATCTTTATCACATTCTTGAATTGAGAGTCTTGATTATTTGGCCTTTTTTTTTTCGCATAGTTTTCTATAAATCCTCGGCCCTAATTATTTTACAAAATTGTACTTCTGAATTCACCCCCAACATCATCTCCAATTGAATTTCGGAGTAATCACTTATTTCATCACCTTAATCATCAAATATTTCAATGCTTTTTTATCACCAATTCTATCACCTATTCATCATTTATTTCATCTCCTATATCATCACATGAATTTCATCCCCTATTTTAATAGAAATTTCATTATATTTTTCATCCCATATATTATTTCATCATCTATTTCATCCCGGATTTTATCACCTGGATTATTTCATCACCATTTTTAAACATCAAATTGTTTCAAATTGACTCTGTATATTATAACTCAAAAATAACCTCCACACATCTCATTCTATACTCTACACAAGGTTGCTTTTCAACGCCTCCTCAAAGGCTCCACTCTCATCCTCATATAACTACAAAAACAACCTTAAATTTAACCCCTGGTTGAGCAAGGTTGGGACGCGATATCAACCATCTACTACGTAATTCAAACAGTTGTAGTATTAGGGTAGTAAGTACCAAACCAAACCCCAGAAAAAGCTTTTGTCTTATAAATAGTCTAATTAGCAAGGCAGAGAAAGCTTTTGTCTTATCTTGCAACAGGCAGAACGAGTCAAGGAAAACAGTCGGGCTTCCATACCGCAGCGGCTAGACGAAGGAGGTCTAGGCTAAAAGATTGGGTAAGCGCCAACGGCTAGACGGAGGAGGTCTAGGCTAAAAAGATTGGGTAAGCGCAATTTTATTATAAATAAAATATATATAGTATCCAAAACCATTTGCAGAAGGTCTTCCGGAATTCGCCTGCGATTTTTTGCCTTCGAGTTTACTAGGGCCATTTTCCTTTTAACCGAGTCGACTTGCCCCCCACACTCCAAGATAGGTTTTATCAAATGGTCTAGTTAACTTGGTGGATTAAAATAACCATATATAAATTGAGCAATGACCCCAAGATTAAAAACTACAACTTTTTTTTAGAAAATCTAAAAGCTGATTATGTTGATGGATTCATTTAATTGTCCATTCTTAGAACTCGAAAAATGTAAAAAATATATCTTTAAATTACAATTTTATTAATATTAAAGAGAATCAAAAAATTTTGAGAGTGTTATTAATAATTTTTTATTTTTTTCCTATATTTTTTAAGGATCGAGTTATGCATAAATCTATGTAAGTTTTCACTAGTATAATTTACATCAACCCTAAATCTTCGCAATAATGCATTTCTTCGAAAACAAAATGAGCAATATTCATTTTGCTTCATATTATAAAGCTCAAAATAAAATACTGGAATTTCAATAATATTTTAATAACAGAAAATGTATTGCGAAAAAGAGGAAGTTGGAGAGTTGTATAAGGTTTTGGCTTTATCTTAAGATGTTGATGAAGTAATCCTCCCTATCCTCATTTACATATTAAAAAAAGAGAGAATTTCAGACTGCCTAGAATTTCTTTCATTAGACCAAAATAAATTCCTTCTAGAGATAGAAAGATAAAAGGTAGAAAATGTATCGCTACTTGATAAAGAATAGAATCTAAATGCAGAGAATAACTTAAATCGGATATTGGAAGCTCTCTTTATGATTAGGGATCATGAATTTAATAAACAGAATTACTCAATTGATTAAGAAGAAAACAAAAAGGGAGTGATTATGAAAATATCATGGGATAAGAAAATCATAGAATTTCTCAAATTTTTAGTTCATCTGACTGCTTTAGATGAGAGATACATTTAGTGTGGATCAAACTCTCTATATTTGCTAGTTTAGATGAAGGCTGATTTGAGGGAATAAAGTTTTGAGAATATCAGGATTAGAGATACCTCTTTAGTTGGTGGAAATTTTGTAAGATGCAATTTAAATGGATCAAAATTTGACAAAGTAGATATTAGTGGAATGAACTTGAATTAAGCTTAAATGTTTAATTGCTAATGGAAAAATATAAAAATACATGAGTTAAATAAACTAGATGGTCATTGTAGAAGAGTTAACTAGTTGTGCATTTCTCCAGGTGGTAAATAATTCGCGTCTTGTAGTGATGATAATTCTATTATATTGTGGGATGTAAAAACGGGGAAAAAAAAGTCCAGAATCAGGGGAACAGGGGAGGTAATATCAATATGCTTCTCACCTAATAATAGTACAATAGCTTTCAGCAGTGGAAAATTTGTGTATTTATGGAATCTTAAAACAGGAAAATAAAAAGTCAATTTAGATGGTCATTCAAATTTGGTTAATACAATTTGTTACTCTCCTGATGGTACTACATTAGCATCTTGCAGTCATGATAAGTCTATCATTTTATGGGATGTTAAGACAAGATAATAAAAGCCAAATTAGATGGTCATTCAAATTGGGTTATGTCAGTCAATTTCTCTCCTGATGGTACTACATTAGCATCTGGTAGTTCAGATAAGTCTATCCGTTTATGGGATGTTCAGACAGGATAATAAAAAGCCAAATTAGATGGTCATTCTGATTCAGTTAGTTCAATTTGTTACTCTCCTGATGGTACTACATTAGCATCTGGTAGTTGGGATAAGTCCATCCGTTTATGGGATGTTAAGATAGGATAATAAAAAGCCAAATTAGATGGTCATTCA